ATATATATATATATATATATATATATATATATATATATATATATATAAATGTATATATATATATATATATATATATATATATATATACATATACATATATATATATATATATATATATATATATATATATATATATATATATATATATATATATATATATATATTTATTTTTATATATATATATATATCATAATTACTAACATAGATTAAAAAACAATACCATATATTGAAAGTTGCCTAAAGAAACCTTTTTATAGTTGTATGATAATAAATCATATTCAAAATTTAGATAGATGGGTAAGTAATATTGCCATGTAACGTTTACAGCAAGTTCACCAGGTTCATATATGTAGTTCATTTGAATTGTGAGAAGTAGTTTGCTTCTGAAAAAAATAGCAGAATATTGAAAAATTAATAAATCATTTAACAAGAATTTTTTTATAAACTTAAAAAAATATTTACGTAAATTATGACTTTTGTTATAAAAAAATTTAAATTAAAGTTTTTTTAACGTTTTTACTTGATTAGTTCTCCATCAAACAAAACATTTATAAAAGGTTTGCAGAATACGTCGTTTTCTAAAAAAAAGTTTTAATAAATATATTTTAATTTCTATAGTTTTAAATTAACTAAGTTTAACTCAACTTATCTTTTTTTGATAATTTCAGTTAAAAGTTCAACCACACTTAAATAAAAAACTATTCCTAGCAAAACACATATAGTTATTTTAATTTAGTGATTTGGTTGATATATGGTTCAAAAATAACGATTTAAATTTTAAAGTCATTTCAACGTAAGTTCAATGTTAATAATAAATGTTAAAAATTTAATAATTATTTTTAATAACTTTTTTTAATTAAAAAAAGGACTTGAAAATTAATGCTTAATTAAGGTTAAAATCTTCAAAAAAGATTTTCAACCTGAACTTAAGTTAAAATAACGTTGAGATTTAAATACTTAAAAGTAAACTTAAAATTTCGATGTTAGTTCAGAGTATACTTTAAGTTTTTTTTAAAAAGGTTGAAAATGAGTTAAAGTTTGCCGACGCGAATTATTAACAATTTTATATTAAATTAAAATTTAATATTGCTCATAAATAAAAAGCATTGATGTAATAAAAATATCGAAAAACTATATGCTATAAAAATATGTGCAATTTATCAAAATTCTAAAAGATTTAAAAGACTTTGCATTATACACAATGTAAATTAGTTTTTTTAAAAACTAATTTACATTATGTACTATACTTAATGTTTGTATCCTGTATTTTACTATATGTAAAATACAGGATACAATCAAAGCATTTTGGGTGGCTTAGTCACAAATATATTGGGCTAACCTTGAGCCTACCAAGCTGTGCTACTCGGGTATTATTACTTGTAAAATGTACAAATAACATAAATTAAAGATGTTTTTATTTAGATGCAGTTATCTTTTATTCTAAAATAAAAATAGCCCAATGCACAAAGATATATTTTAAGGCTGCTTAAAAATTGCACCATTTTAATTAGATTATGGAAAACGTGCATTAAATCAAAACGAGAGTCTTATGACAGATGACAATTAAAGTACAGATGAATTTAATAATGATGCTAAAGATAATGATAACATAAGTTTATCAGTATCCTTTTAAAAATAATTTTATTTTGTATATATTTTTGTTTAGAATATATTTAAGTTAATTTTTTTGGTTTTATTTGCTTTCAATTAAAGTTAATTTAAATAAAACAGTGTAAACCTATGAAAACAACAAATAAAAGTCGTAACCTCTGCCATTCATAAAAAAAAAAAAATTCACAATTAAAACAACCTGTTTAATAAAAAAGACAAAATAATATCTAAGTAATGACAATTCAACAAAACTCTTCTGTCCTCTTTTGATATCAAAGACTAAATATTTACTTCTTTTATTACGTCAGATCACGCTTGAATGTAATTTTTAATTGATTTGTAAAAGGATTTTGAAATGATTTTTTTTAACGTTTTTTTTACATTTATTAGCTGATGATGTATATATATATATATATATATATATATATATATATATATATATATATATATATATATATATATATATATATATATATATATATATATATATATATATATATATATATATATATATACATATATATATATCAAACCTTTAAAAGTCATTTTCTTGACATGCAATAAAATATAAGTAAAATCCAATAAATATGGCTGTGTATATATATATATATATATATATATATATATATATATATATATATATATATATATATATATATATATATATATATATATATATATATATATATGCATATATATTGTAGGAATAATGTTAATATTTCCAGTAAGAGTGCTCAATGCAGCATGTTATATAAATATTAGAGCAAATAATATAGTGAAAACTAAATAATTATTAAGATATATTTTAATTACATTACTAAAAGTTTCACGCAATAGCGATCATCAGATGTAACAGCAATAAAAAGTAACGACAAAAATTATATAAAAAATTTATTTTCATGACGACATTTTGACGCAAGCTCGGTTCGTTTGTTAAGCAAATTCAATGGCGACGTAATAATGTGGTGTTTTTCTGTCAAGCATAAAATGCAAAATTTACCACCAGGTTTGAATGGCTCTGCTTGATCGAGGATATTTCATTTTAATATAGGTTCTATACCTTTATTTTTGCATTCCCACACAAATTTCGAAAGTTCAGTGGAGTTAGCCTTACTTTCATAAACAAAGGAGTTTTTATGTTTATACCACCTGTCTTTGAAAGTTTTCTTAGTAAGCTCAACGTAATAATATCCTTCTTCTTCTTGGGTAGTTTTTGCGTTGCAAATATATAAATATATATCTATATATTATCTATCTATCTATATATATATATATATATATATATATATATATATATATATATATATATATATATATATATATATATATATATATATATATATATATATATATATATATATATATATATATATATATATATATATATATATATATATATATATATATATATATATATATATATTAATATATACATACATATATATACATATATATATATATATATATATATATATATATATATATATATATATATATATATATATATATATATGTATATATATATATATATATATATATATATATATATATATATATATATATGAATATATATATATAGTTATACATATATATATATATATATATATATATATATATATATATATATATATATATATATATATATATATATAGATAGATAGATAATATATAGATATATATGAATATATATATATATAATAGTTATACATATATATATGTATATATATATATATATAATATATATATATATATATATATATATATATGTATATATATATATATATATATATATATAAATATATATATATATATATATTTATATAAATATATATATATATATATATATATATATATATATATATATATATATATATATATATATATATATATATATATATATATATATATATATATATATATATATATATATATATATATATATATATATATATATATATATATATATATATATATATATATATATAAACATAGTTTTCAATGCTTTAAAAAAGATTTTTATATTTAGAACTTTCTTATCAAAATAAAAAGATCATTTAGAAAAAAAAAAGGGGCTCCCTGATCCCCCAGCAACTTCGGTGTCGTCGGCCCTGTATGTTTGTTTATTAATTTTATTTTATTATACATTATGGTGATCTGCATAATCAGGTATAATAATTAAAAATCATTACATAGAAAATTATTATAATAAAAATAAAACCGTTAAAAAGATAACATTAAAAAGAGCATGAGAAAACACAAGATAGGATTTAAACGTTGATCTCAGTAACCTGATAAATAATGGCCCTCAAGCTATTGTTGTCATATTATTAACATAATCTCTATGAAGAACATTTTCGTCACGTCCCTTGCCGAACTTTAGCGTTATTTTTCCTAACATAATATTCTAGAATAGTTTATATAGTGTAGGGGTGTGACCAATCAAAAGTACCGTGGCATGATTTGAAATGTTCAGAAGCTCCTAAACTAGCCCATTTTCTTTTTTCAATGTTTTTCTGGTGCTCAATACATTTTGATATAATTTTATTTTTGGTTTCACCAATGTTTATAGAGTTGCATAAAGATTTTATTTGGTAGACGCCTGGATTTGTTATTGACGAAGTTTTGTTTTATTTTAACATATTATATTGTTTAAATTGATGTAAAAATAAATTTTAAGTTTTGTTTTTTAAATTCATTTCTATGTTTGGGACAATTGGTATATATGGTAGCTTTATAAACTTGAAAAAAAAAAGAGTTACGATGAAAGCAAAAAGTTACAAGATTTGAAGGTATGAAATGCTAACACAAGAAACCAACTAATTTTTTCTCAAAGGAGCATATCAAATAACATAACTCCAAAATCGCCTCAAATAAAAACTCCAATATATACTAAAAAAGCAAAGAACATAAGAAAGGAATACAGAAATAAGCGACTAGTTTATGCTCGTAAAGAAACAAAACACAGTATAAACCCAAGTAAGAAAATAATTGATGAGTTAGTTATATCTTTTCAGAATAAAGTAAGATTCGGCGACTAAGATTTAATTAATAGTATAAGTAACAAATCAAGAGATAACCATTACATAAAAAAAAAAAAAACTGATATGAAAGAAAAGTATAATAAATTGCAAATTAAACCAAATTTAAAAAATACTCCTAGAATAGATCCTCCTAATCATGGTGCTAAAGCTGCTAAACTTAATTTAACTAATAATATTTTGTATAAAGCAGTAACTGAATGACTCAATCTAGGTCCAATGTTTGTTACATTACAGAAGAAATCTTCTTATACGGACATAACAACTAATATTAAAATGTTCGCTTTGCGACTTATAAATCAACATAGAATCTCTAAAACGAAACTGTTTTAAAATTTTGACAAATTGTAAACATTAAGATAATTTAACTAAAAGAAAAATAATGATAAGTTTAGATATTAGGATTTATTCTTTTGCTAAAGGCAGAGGTTTTGCATTACTATAATAAAAGGATGCATGAATTATATTAGAAAAACAAATTAAAAATAGCAGAATTATTAATCATAACCCAACACCCACACTTACTATCAATTTTTAAAAACAGTTACGAAATTTAAGAACAGATGGTAGTTTAGACACTACATATTATATTATTTATCCATCAGATTTCGTTATATTTCGTTTTATTATTAAATGTATCCATCAGATTTAACCTAGAATATACGGAGTAATAAAGGCGCACAAACTTTAAAAAGGTTATTTAATGCGTCTGTTGTATCAACAATCAACACCCTGCAATATGGAACATTCAAATACCGCGATAATATTATTCAACCAACAATAAAACAATTGTAAAACAAAAATATATTAATTAATTCAAATAGATTTGTTATTGAAACCAGGCTTTGGAAAAAAGATCCCAATGAATTTCAACATTCTTTTGATATAATTAAGTTATATCCGTCCATAAACATTAAATATGCTATTAA